AGGATTATAAATTTAAGACTTTAATGATGCAACTTTTTATTATTTTAAATATAATTCCATGAAGAATGCAAGGAGCCACAGTTCAAAACATTTAGAAAACACATTCTCTTCTGCAATAGAATATAAAACCTCCTTGTTTAAAAGTGTACCTCTGCTATCATACAATACCTCTACATTTGGTATTTCAAATAAACATACACTTTTGTTTTAAAAGTTATATTATAATTTAATTTTTTTCCAAGTTTCAGGAGGCTTACCACTGCAATGCTAAAGCTTATTTAAATGAATAATAAGCTGATTTTTAACCAAATAGATTTCAAAAAGAGGGCTTGAGAGGGGGGGAAAAAAAGACAATAGACCTGTTCCCAGCAACCAGCTGTGAAAACTCTTATTGAGCTGGATTGGAAGTGTCACAAAGGAGAGTCAGAACAAGAACCAGAAACATCAATACTGTATAGCCATGTTGGCGAATCTATGGCATGCGTGCCACAGGTGGCACGCAGAGCCATTTGGACGGGCACGCGAGCCCCAAACAAACTTACCTGCACTCAGCATGCTCATACCTCCCAGCTGATTTTAGGCCTCCTGGAGGCTCGAGGGAAGCCTCTGCAGCCTTAGGAGGCCGAAAAACGGGCCTTCTGGAAATACCAGAAGTGCTGAAACAGGCCGGTTTTTCAGCCTCCATAGGCTGCAGAGGCTTCCCTCGAGCCTCCGGGAGGCCAAAAAACACCTCAAACGGGCCGAAAATCCGCTGGGAGGCATGCACATGTGCAGTACAGGTAAGGGTGTGTGTGTTATGTGCACATGTACAAGTGGGTTGGATTGCATTGAATTGTGGGTGCTGGCATGCGCACACACACGCTATCGCACATGTGTGCGCTTTCGGCACACCACAACAAAAAGGTTCACCATCACTGCTGTATAGCAATAGAAGACACAGATGGCTGCTTTGTCCTACACAAACATAGTGACAACCTGGAATTCAAAATAGAAGAAAAAAAATATTACTCACTGGCATTTTTTATTAAATGCAGAACTGATCAGTAACTGTTCTTGCAAACTCTCACAAATCTATTCATCTCCCAAAGATGAAAACATACAATCAGTAATCTCTTGCAGCATTCCACTTCATCTCAGTAAGGCCCTTAAGGGGTAACTTTAAAAAAAAAAACCCTCCCTACTACATAAATCCTATGCTCGGGGGTGGGGGAAAATGATCAAGTGTGCATTCTTATTGCATATAATTTGTTTCCTTTTGGTCAGCTTTCATACCACCTGATGGCCAAAATAGAACATTGGGGGGGGGGGTGTCAGATATTTGGAAATAAGTGTCAAAATCATTTAACCCGGAGAGAGGAGGATTCAACTGCAGGAAAGATTTAATGTGTGTAGCATATACATCCAGAAAATTACAAGGGCTGGTCTTGAACCCCTCACCTTAATTACTCAAACTGATTCCCTGTATCCAGGTCTATGTTATAATGTTCTTAAAAACTACTAACAGTCTTTCTTTACCAATCAGAAATTATAGACAGCTATGACCAAGAGAATGAAAGCTGATTTGATGATTAAGGCACTAGCAAATTCCAGTCTTGCCTTAAGCAAAAAGCCAGCTGGGGGATTTTCTACTTTTTCTAAACTCTAGGACCAACATGTCCAACCCGATGCTTGCTGGCCAAACGTGGCCCTGGACAGCTAGTAATGAGGTCCCATAAGATATTTTAAAAATGCTAAAAAAATAAAGGAAGTTTGTTATTTATATAATTAATAACTATATCATGTATTTTATTTGTACTCCAAGACAATTCCTCTTCACTCAGTGCAGCCCATGCAAGCCAAAAGGCTGGACAATCATGCTCTAGGATGTGGGCAATGACAAACCATGTCAGAAATCTTGCCAAGAAAAGTGCTGGGACTTGTCCAGAGAGAGATAGAGAAACCAAGAAGAGATTGTCAGCATCACATGTAAAGTACTTTTACTCCAAAGGTGAAAAAGCAGCACACTAAATAATAGATATCTAAGATAAATTTCTACAGTTTGTTTAGTGACTGAAGTTACAACAGCTCTGAAAAAAGTGACCGCTTCTCACACAACCGTTACAACATCCCCATGGTCACATGATCAAAATTCAGATGATTGATTCATATTTATGACAGTTGCAATGTCCCGTGATGATGAATCAAGCAAACTCAATGGGGAAGCCAGATTCACTTAACAACTGCAGTGATTCACTTAACAACTGTGGCAAGAAAGGTTGTAAAATGGGGCAAAACTCTCTTAACAAATGTCTCAGTTAACCACATAAATTTTGGGCTCAATTGTGGTCATAAATCGAGGACTACCTGTAGTATAAAATGGCCAATACTCAGAGGTACTGTAAATAAGTGCCGTAAAATGTTTTCAAATGCCTGAAAAAAAGTTTAAAGGCAGTTGGATTGAAGAGTCACTGGGGATTCTAGCTTTGTACAGAGGCAAAACTCTCCCATATAAACTGCAGCCACATTCCATACCACAATTTCCTTTAACTACTTAATCTAAGGAGAGGAAGTCAAGAACTTATCCTTCTCTTTGGTTTCTGCATTTTTTTATTTAAACAAATATTATTTTACAGTGAAAAGGGAACAAACGCCAGTGAAGACTGCCCTCTAAGTTCTCATTATATAAGGCCCTCCATCAGTTTATACTTGACTCACAGGATGTGGAAATACTGTACTAAGAGCATAAACATAACTAGATTGTCAATAAAGCAGGAAAGGCCACGCCTGCCAGTCCTGGACCCGAGAAAGTTATCCACCAGAAGGGGAGCAAAATCTCTCTTCAGCGTAGGTTTCTTCCTAAAGGCCTACCCCCTATCCCACTCCTCCCCCCCCCCCCCCCAGTTTGGCTTCTTCCAAACTGGGCCCATTTCCCAGCTCTGCTCTCCAAAGCCTACTGTTGAGACGCAAGAGCCTTCCCCGAATCCCATCGGCAGGCATTACATCACCAGCAGGATAGGACGGCTCCTCGTAGGCTGCCAATTACCTCTGCCTTCTTTCCTGCTTCCCTGGCTGCCCAGTAGGAAACTTGGAGCTGAGCTAAACAAAGACTCAGCGGGTGGCTTGGCCGCTTGAGAGTCTCCCGAGTTAATCGATTTTCTGGGCAACCAGCAACTAAAGCAGTGTTCTGGGTACCCTCCCTTCGCCATTTCCAAGGGTCTGAACCTGCAGCAAGGGTCGGTTTCCACGACCCAGCCCGGAGTAATCCTGGCACCTTTTAGCCCGTTGTTCCAGAGGCTTGAATCGAGGAAATCGGGGTTAAATTAACCACGAATAAATCGTGAAAACACAAGAGAAGTTCAAGGTGCTCCTGTATCAGGGTCTGGCACGCACATTGCTAGGCAGGCCTCGGAGGGTGCTCGGTTTCTGACCCCCGATAGAGCAAGTGCCTTTCTTGGGTGCGCCCAAGAGCTAAGTGGCATTGTGCATTCTTGTCACCAAGACAAAGCGCCGAAGCGAGGAGATAATTATTACCAAAAAAACAGGGCCGAATCTATTTCGATCTGTCAAAACAAGAAAGCGTTTCTTGTCCAGCAGCGAAGTCTGAAGGTACAAACAAATGGCGGCAGATTTGCGCCCCCCCCCCCCCCCAGCCTCACTCGTCTTCTCCAAGAAGGTGCTCTCAAATTGTGTCGAACTACAAGGCCTCTCATCCCCACCGGACACGTCCCGCTGGTTGAAGGTTTCCCATCGAGGTGACGGGCTGAAGGTCCATTTGGGGAGAGGGCACCTTGAAGGCGAACGCACACGCATCCCCCTCGTTTCAAGCCCTGCCGCGTTCCTCTCCAACACAGCTCACCAAATCCTCCAGGGCGGGAGTGTGGGAAGGTGCGGGGGGGGGGGGGGGGGGGGGGGCGCCCCCGGGGAAAAAGGGAAACAAAAAAAAAACCCCCGTTGCCCAAATTTTGCAAGGGTGGCCCCTCCCCCCAAACTATCCCCAGCCTCCCAGGACTCGGCCCTCCGGTGCTCTTTCGGGGGGGGGCTGGAATGGGTGGGAAATGATCCTGGACGCCAGCCAGTCCCCCACTTTGGCCTCTTTCCCAGCCGCCGTGCTTTCTCCCGGACGCTCAGACACCCTCCCTCCTCCCCCAAATCCAGTCAGGACTTACAAAAGCTTCGCCGCTGCTTGAAAGGTCGGTCCGAAGGCATCGCGGCCGGGAACCGGACAATACCGAGACCAGCGCGCCTCGGCACGGACGAGAAAGTCGTCGTTAAGACTTAAAAATCGCTGCTGCCGCCGCCTTGGGGAGGGCAGGGAAGGTCTCCGGAGCCACCGAAAGCAACTGCCGCGACGCGCGCCTGCCTCCTCTTCCTCGGTCGGCCGACGCCGTCTGCTCCGGATCAGATAGCTGAGCCACACCGATCCCCGAAGGTGGCAGCGCAGCGGTGACTTCATCCCACAACCTCCTTAAAGGGGAGGCGCGCGATCCCGCCCCTTCTGCAGTGCGGCCTCGTTGCCAGGGGCGCACCGGCCTCAGCGCCGGGCTGCCCTCGGCGATCTTGCTGGTACTCTCAGCCGGCACACTCGCTTCCCCACCCTCCTCCCGGAGAAAGAATTAAGCCGCGTCCAGGAGGATGTTGTAGAATATGCATGAAGGGCAGATGTTCGCAGATAATGAGCACCACACACACACTTATTTAAAAACATTGCCAGGAGTTCATCTAGAAACGAACTCCTATTGTTTCTTTTGTTTTTCTTATATGTACCCATTTCATGTATTCATAATTATGTATATACTTATACCTATTATTTTGTAAGCGATTGACAAATCAAATAAATAAATAAATAAAATAATCCCAGAAAGGACTGGTTTATTCGTTTATTTAATAGCAACTTATTATAATTAATACTTCTCTTTTAGCTGCTCCTGAACAGCTTTTAGTTGGATGTTATTCAATTGCAGCACAACTGGAAAAACTGGTCAATGGCAGCAGAAGTGTCATCTTAAAAATTAACATATTTATTACACTACTGTATAAAATTTGGTGGAGCACATGCCTTTGATATATATATAAGGCTGTTTTTGTTATGATTCACTGAAAATGTTGATTTGCTGAATTAAATCTTTTAATTAAAGATGATCTTCCAAGTCAGGCTTGGAGGAATCCAAATGCTTTCACATTTTGATTCTGCATTGATAAACATCTTCATGCTTAGCCATGTAGTCCCCCTGCCTGGGAAGTAACATTGAACATTGAGAGAATGTTCTCATCACAGAATGTCTATGGGGATTCTCAGTCTGAACTTCTTGGATGAAAAGTGAAACATCAAGGGGAAAAAACAACCCAAGTTGCCTTTTGGGAAAGCAGCTTTGGGGGCTCAACACAGAATGATTTGTTTAGGAAGAGTTATTTCTATTTGTGATTAGAAGACTAAGTGGAACTCTGGTTCAGGCTTCTGGATGAGAAGGATTTGAAGAGAAGCTTCTCACATGTGCTTGATGTATTTATAGCTTCTAGCTACTGAGAATCCTACTCCCCACTTTATTCTGAGAACAACCTGAGGTAAATTAGGCTAA